GGAAGATTCCCGGTCATGATATGATCTCGTGGGAAATTATAATGAAGGTAGGCATGAACAACAAATAGTAAGGCAGGATAATACCGATACACAGTTTGAAAATTTTTAATATATTGTGTCGATATATAGAAATTGATAAACATGCGCAAAACGTTGTATAAACAACTCCGTTAGTATTATTTTGGACATAGTCATTTAATAATAAAAACATTTGGAACATGGAAATTCTCAATGCAAAATACCTTTTGTCTACATATTTGGATATACATTAATTTAAGTTGTACAGAGGAGGTGATTATGCAAGAAAAAAAAAAACAAAATGTGGTGTCGCGTATACAAATCTTTCATGGAATTAAAGAATCATTGCCTATATAACTCGTTTCCTTTTTTTTATTGCTTTCACTGCTGTAAAACTTAAACGATGAATAATAGTCAAGGTTCATTTTCGACGAATACATTTCGAACAAAACGTAGTTATAATAATAGACAATGTGGACTTATATCTTGGATCTTTATGCCAGTACGCCGAGGAACTTTTTTAAGTTTCTACAAATCCCATAGCTTTCATAATGATATTTCTTTTAAAAATATACCTACAAAATATTTAAATGATCAAGAAATTCAAGAACAATTGCAAAAGATTTATCAAGAAGCTTCTGATGATCCTTCAGCATCTATAAAGCCTCGCCGATTGACACAGTTTTGGCATGATTATTGCATTTGGTTATCAAAATGCAAAAACCTCGAAGATTCACAATCACAACGTGAATATTGGATAGCAAAAGAGGAATTTAAGGAACTAAATAAAGCGATTAGGTTGTAATAGAAATGGTGCTTCAGTTGGAAGATTTGCAAGACAATGGGGTTTAGGAATTGGTACTGTTGTTAAATATACCAAATGTATTATAACAGCTATTAATTCAATTGGAAATAATTATGTTCAATGGCCTAATTCTCTTGAAAAACAACAAATTAGTGATCGAATAAAACAATCATCAGGATTTAAAGGATGTATTGGATATTTAGATGGTACTGATATTGTACTTGAATACAGACCTTCAGAAAATGGTGAAATATATTATAATAGAAAAAAGCGATATGCTTTAACAGTACAATTAGTTTGTGATGATTTAAAGTATATTTGATTTGCAAACTTTGGATGGCCAGGCTCAGTTACTGATTCAACAGCATATAAATCTACACCATTATTTAATGAAGTTGATAAATTTTTTAGTCAAAATGAATATTTGCTTGCAGATTGTGGTTATCAACTTACTCCAACTACAATAACTCCTTATAAACAACCACAAGCAAGTATTT